TATCGTTAAAAATTATTTTTTTATTTTGTACAAACAAAATAAATATATTGAAAAATATAAAAACAATAAAAAATTATACTTCAGAAGTTAATTTAGTATCAAAAACGTAAAATATTTGAGTAGCCCAAGACATAGCCAAAGATTGCAGCGCCACAGCACTGGCAAAAATTTAAATTTGCTGACTGGAATTCTTTCGAATAAACGACGCTCTACTGTATATATGTACTTGACAAGCAAGTAAAAATAAATTTTTTTATCATCTTTCAAATTCCAAATGATAAAAACTTAATCAGACTGACAACTTAACTTAGCAATTAAAATAAATAGACCCAAAAAAAATCAATTTAAACATTTTTGAAACAAGACTTTACTGCATAAAATATTTCCATTTAGATTAACAGAAGCAGACATTGTCCCATTGAAATTACAAAATAATCTTTTAATTTATGATACATTCTTTAACATTATCTACATTTCCTTTTATATATGATCCTCCTCTCCTACAACAGATATTTGGATTGTTAAAATTAGAAAAATTCTTATATACATAGAGATAAAATGAATATCTTCCATTAGAGAAGTTAAGATTATAAACAATTGGCATTTGTACGTAATTATCGTGAGCTGGTCCGACACTCAGCCCGGTCGGATTTCGAGGAAGTCGCGCTCGAGAATGTGCTCGATGGACTGCAGCGTGGTCTTTGCCGTCTTGTTGTCTATTGCAATCGGAGCGAGATAACTGCTCATTTCTGATGCGGTCGTTCCCGACCTTATGCATTCTATGTGATTTGTATTTTCCATGCAGTGCTGACTAGTCGTGATATCTGCCATTGTGTTAAAAAATGGCTGTAACTCTTGCAGCGATTTGATATTTGTTATATCTAATAAAGGCTTTCCCGGAGAAAAATGAAGTTTGTCTTGGCTAGGAAACTATAAAATATATTTAAGCATAATTTTAAAACATATAAAGAAAATGAAAATAATTGTCCATACGCACCTTTTTGTTTAAGCGTGCCGCTATTCTCACAATGTGTGGCGTGAAGTCGGAAGGGGCGCTAGACGACAGCTTTTCTTTTGGCCGTTCGAATGACGAGGACGGACTGTCGCCGACAAAAGCCCACCGATACCTAAAAATACTTCGATTAATTTTCTCCACACTGTTTTACACATTAACCATACCACATGCAATTTTTAACCCATCTACGATCACTCACATTTGAAATTGAGGGAGCATATCCGAAGGAAGAGCCACTGCCATATCCAGTAATTTGCAGGTGGAGAGATACAGTTGCAGCCAGGCCGGATGATTGTGAGCATTCAGACCGTTACTATTGGTCACCACCCAAGTGCTATCCAATGTCGAAAGTCTACGAAGATGAGAACTGTCAAACAAAGTTAATATTTACAGAAACGAAACAATACAATGCCAGGAAGAATGCTCAAAATGTAGAAATAAACAAAGTTTTTACAAATATAAGCAGCATGCATTAAGCAAAGATTTACATCACTATTCCTTTATCATACCTTGGAATCTTTCTGCCCAAACATCACAGGAAGATGACAAAAGAAGCATCATATCAACCACCACCAAGACAAATCATTAGTTCATTTAATGGAAAGAAACAAAGCAGAAAGAATTTGATTATTTTAAAAGTTTCATAAATCATGTAAGTCCTTGTGACTATGTAAAGATATCCTAAGCATTGATGTTGACATGGCTACATTCTCTCTACTAAGCATTAAAAAAATCACACAGAACGAATCCAATTCTAGTCTTCCTCTCTCAAAGAACGAGACAATTATATAGAGTTATTTGATATTGGATAACAGTAATTAAAATGGTTTGTAACTTTATGAAGAAAAATAATTAATTTGGTATTTAATAAACAAAAAATTTATCAATATATTTATATAATGGCATAATTACAAAAATAAATTAATAAAAATTTTAATGTTTTTAAATGTTCTATATGCTGTTGTAACAATTATCCTACAGTTCATCAGAAATCATATAAAAAGTTATATTTTATATTTATTTTGTATTTATCTTTGATATTAACAAATTCTTAATATAAATTTGTTAATTTGGAAAACATTTGTGCTGTAAGTAAACATTTTGTGTATGTATAGCAAAAATTTATTGTTTTACATTTGAAAAAGGTAATAGTTAAATTGAAATTTAAAATTTACAGCTCAAACATATGTTAATTCATTAGTTAATGGTTTGTTAGTTGTCAAATTTTATTGTAAATTATTTTTAATCACAATCAAATTTAAGAAAGTGATCAGCTTAAAATTATCTTAATGTCTTCTGATAAATAGCTTTACTTGTATATGCAAAACTATTGCAAGTGGGTAAAGACTACAAAGGAATTAAATGCCAATTCCATTGATTAGAATTCACTGAAAAAAATAATTACATATTAATTTTATTTTTTAATATAATGAGCTTTCATCAGCAATCTTATTAAGCATGCAAACATATGAAAAAATTCTACTTGGTTGCAAAGAAAATTTATGAAGACAATATCAATGACACAATGATCAAACTTTCAATAAAATACAAGATTTAATTGTCATCAACAGAGAAAAATCATAACATTAATCAATGCCAACCACAACAACAAAACTTTTATTTACCCTTCCAGTTACTATACACAGGGTTCATAGTTAAATTTTTGTTTTAATTTTCATGACTCCTCTCACCAACTTTGTACAAATTCCCTGACCCTCATGTCCTTACAGTAAGGCACATTGACAAAGTAAAACAGCATTTGGCTTAATAAGCACATATGTTTTGCTTCTCCAATGTTTTAATTCGTTTTTTTTCTAATTAACAGTTATATATTTTTTATAATTGCTGAATTATTAAAATTAAAAATAAAATGTATTATTAAAATTCTGTTATTAATCCACAATCATAAATCTATCTACAAGGCTTTGAAAAAAAGAAAAAATAATCAATTATTTTTTTATTATTTATTAACAAATTCTATATAATCCATGTACAAAAGTATATATTTATTACATTTAGCTCTCAATAAATTTCCTGAATTTTATAAAATTACTAACTGGAAAAAAAAAATCTGATATTGTTTTGTTATGAAATCCAAATTATTAAAATAGAAAATAAATAGTTTAAATGGTATTATTTATCATCATTTTGTGTACTTTGTAAATTTTTGGAAAAATTTTGTGCAAGCTCCTTTACATAAGTTGTATTGCATCATATTACTTCTTGCTGTCAGCAGATGGCTACACTTGATCAAGCATAAAATCAACAAGACAGAAGCAAATTCCCCTGACATTTTTGACAATTTTTAATGAATTCCCTGACATTCCATGACTTTTTCTGAACACTAATGAAAATCCCTGAGTTTCCAGATTTGTAGGACCTTGTATACAGTAACAGGAAAGGTAATTAAAGAATAAAAGAAATATATAATACAGAAATTGAGGCAAACAAATGCAATATTGTGGCAATTATTTATGTAGATTGAAGAAAGAAACTTCATAATTTTATGATGTGTTCTTTCAACATGTAAATACAAAATGATCCCAGCAAAATCAAATAAGCATGGAGAAAATCAATTAACAAATAACTGAGTACATTTAACAACAATAATTAATATCTTTTCAGCAATTGAATCTCATCAGATAGATAGTTCTGTTAATATTTTCTCTCTGAACTTTATATCTTATAACCCATTGAACGTGTGTCTGTCCACGTAACGGTATGAGAAAAACAGGCACTAGAGGCGCCCTAGTAATGATTTTAAATTAATTATTAAAAATATTTAAATTCCTATTACAAATGTAATAGCCAAACATTAAATTCCTATTACAAATATTAAATTCCTATTACATTTGTAATAGGAATTTAATATTTATACCACAGAATGGTATAAATAATTATTATATGCCTTGATTAACCTTACAACATCCCATGACTCAGTGAACTCACAGGAAATTTGATGAAAAAATGGTGGATGCATTTAAAATTGAGGTTTACCAGTGAAGGTAAATAAACAAATTAAACTATTTTAAAGTTTTAAAGAATGTTTAATAGGTAGACATCTAGAACCATATGTCGCAATTGGGACTTTATCAGAGCTGTAGAGCATATTGATAGGAACAAACAAGTCAAAGGAACCGTGCCTCATGGAAATTTGTAAAGAACGCCCACTAGGAGGCATCCCGAGCTACTAGTTANAATTGTTACCTTCTTCAACATCTGGATCAGAATCTGGTATGTCATGCTGTGGACCAGGTCGAACTGCCAAATTCCTCCACAACCAAGTGGTCTGCTCTAAGCATGAGCCTGCCACTGTACTACATGCTTCAATTAATTTTTGTGCTACATCCTAGAGTGGACAAAAAATTGTAGGAGTTATAGAGAATTCACTGTAGAGCATATTGATAGGAACAAACAAGTCAAAGGAACCGTGCCTCATGGAAATTTGTAAAGAACGCCCACTAGGAGGCATCCCGAGCTACTAGTTAATAAGAGAAAAATATGTAGTACATTACAAGTCATTACCAAAAATTAACTAACAAACTAATACTTTGACAACAATGCTAAATATAGTATTAACATTATAATGTTTGATTCTGCATCAAATGCAGTTTGCTTTACTGGAATTATTTTATGATATTTACAAGTTGAAAACAATATACAGATAAAAACAAAACAATTTCATTTCTAGACTGAATATGGCTCTCGTGAAACAAAACTGTCATTGTATAAGCATGTTTCTTTATACTGTATTTGGTTGTCTCAGTTCTTGTAATACATACCAGTTTAATTCTCCTATTTCTTTAAAAAACTTTCCTTATCAGGATTAATAGTTGGTGTATTAGGATACTTAAACTTAGAAAATCTCTCTCTCTAAATATCAGTTAAATCTTAGTTGGAGTTCAGGAGTTTTGATATTTTCAGTGTTTTAACTGAAAATATCATATTCATCATCAATTTTGCATTAATTTTCCAGTAATTTACATGTATTTTTAGTGCTTAATGGATTACAAAAACTGGTGTATGCATTTTGAGTAGAGAACAAATCATTTAAGTGAATCAAATTTCACTCTGCAAAATCAAAAATATTTGTTTGTTCTAGAAATTTGAGTTTTTATTTAGAAAACAGATTTGATTATATAAATATAACAGCATAAAGAACATTTACACAGACCAAATGATTATAATTTTACTTAATTTGATTTCATTATATACAAATAATATGCATTTAATTCCAATTTGTAGATGCCAAAAAAATTATAAATTATTTTAAATATCATATAATTCTTATCTATAATGAGTATTTCTGATCCTATAGAATTTGAAGATGGATATTTATAAAGCAAAAACATTAAATGAAAAAAATAACATTTGAAATAGTCATTTCAAATATTTATTTGAGCCATAACTAATTGTACTATAACTAATAACAAATCTTTTAACATTTACAGTACATCTTATCTAATTACTATCTAAGTTAGTTATTAAATACTATTGTTAATCAAGTTCAAATACATATCCAAAAATTATCAAATAAAAATTAANGCTAGTTAATTTTTGTTCTAACAGAATTTAAAATTTATAATAATAAAAGTTGACATTATAGCTAAATTATATTTTAAAAATGATTAATTTAATTAGTTAATTTTTAAACTTTGTCTTCTACTTATTATGTAAATATTCATTGATGGAATACATTTCTTCACTATGTTAGAAAAAGTTCTAGACACATTCCACTATTTAATGATAAAATAAAATGCCATCAGTCATCAGACAAGGATGATACATCAATGATGACAGTACCAGAACCAAGAATTAAAAGAAAATTTTCAGGTCATAGAAATTCCAGGACAATGGTAAGAATTGTTTTGAATGAATTTTGTTGTTAAAATGTATATCGTATCTATAAGTATACAATATTTAATATCTAGATCAAAGAAGCCACATTTTGGGGTGAAAATTTTGTTATGAGTGGGTCTGATTGTGGACACATATTCATTTGGGATCGGTACACATCACAGTTGGTAATGGTTTTAGAAGCTGACAATCATGTAGTGAATTGCTTACAGCCACATCCATTTGATCCAAGTAAGTAAAATAAAATTAAGTCATTCATATAATATTTAAAAATATATTTGTAAACATGTCTTATTTTAAACAGTATTAGCATCAAGTGGCATAGATCATGATATAAAAATTTGGGCTCCTTCACAACAAGAACCTATATTTGATGAGAAAAAAGCAAAAGAAGTAAGCTGAACATTATTAATGAGGAAGAACATAATTTCTTTGTATGTTTATTTTTTTTTATCAATTCCAGATTATAGGAAGAAATGAAATAATGTTAGAAGAAACAAAAGACACAATCACAGTTCCTGCTTCATTTATGATTAGAATGCTTGCATCGTTAAATAATTTGCGTTCTGCTGGTAAGTAGTTTATTCTATAATAGAAATTTAAAGAAGAAATAAAAATACTTGAAAATTTATCTATTTAGGAGGAATATCAGGATGGAGACGTTTCATGAGGGATGACCGATTATACGAACAATAAAAAGCACAAATTATTGCACCCGTTTGCACAAAGACAGCATTGTCTTCAGTTATAGATCATTGTATATCTTTCTGTTATCACAGAAAGATATACACACCCGTTTGCACAAAGACAGCATTGTCTTCAGTTATAGATCATTGTATATCTTTCTGTGATAACAGAGTTTTCCAAACTTTATTTATTAATATATACAGAATGTAATATATACAAAATATTTACTATATAACTAATAATTCCCCATTCATTAAAATTGCACATTGGCATTTGATTTATTAAAAATAATAATCAGTAAGATTTTGTAATGAAATTGTTGCAAATAGAAAATACAAGCTCAATGAAAAATTATATACTTACAAAATGTATTTTCCTTATACATCATAATTTTCATTAAAACTAGTCTGTAACAACATATTTGTTCATTGTTACTAGTACTTAAATGCAGTAGATAATTTTGTTAGTTGATATTAAAATTTTGTTTTGAATGAGACTAAGTATTCTATTTTGATTATATTTCAAGAATTTTCCATTAATAATAAATGTTCATATGTTTAATTTTAAATCTCAAAAACAAAAAATTTAAAACCAAAGCTTTCAAATTTTATTGCATTTTATAATAAACTAGCTGCAAGATCCCGCTTCGCTGGGTTTTTATTTGTATGTAATAGTATAGTTTTTTTTATATATATAAAAGATTGTTTTTCTAAGTAATCTAGAATCTAGCTGCAAGGACCCGCTTCGCTGGGCAAAAAGTAACGATAGTGAAGATTAAGATAATTACATTATAGCTAATCTTACCCGTTTTCACCGAA